AAAGTTGAGAGAAATTTAACGGTCGCTTCAATGGCGGCATCGCCGTTGCGTGCGCGTGCTCTCTCCAGTCTCCATTATCTAAACTTGTAGGACGACGGTGCGGCCCATTTTGTAGCTTCCTTGTTGGACCAAAACAAATATTTTGTAGCGTCCCTTGGCCCACTTATAGCTTTTGAAAGTACATAAAAAATAAAAAATAAATTGAGGGAAAATTAGTAACATCCACTGAAGAGCAGCCGGCATAATCTGATCTAGGACTAGGACCTGGCCCGGAAAGAATGAAGTACATAAGGGACCATTCTTTTGTTGTGATCGTAACTATAACAGTCCAAAGATAACGAAATTTCTTAAAATGAGCACGTCATTGGGACAAACCAGCTGCTAACCTATCTTTTTCCCTCAACTTCACCACCTCAAACTAGTCCATCAAATTTAAGGGAATATGAGTAGGATTGTAGGTGCACACACAAACGTAGCAACATTAGTTGGAGCAGTTTACTCCTCTTTATGCAGCTGAGTTCAAATGTACTTCCTCTCTTCCAGTCTTCCTTACTAATAAGATTAATTTAAAAAAAAAATAATATTGCTACAAATTCAAAACCTTCAAATAATCAGCCGGATGAGATTCAAAGTTTAAACTATAAAGTAGCATTACGCTCTATCCAATATGACTACGCTCAAGTCTACTTATAATTTATAATTTTAGATTGTCCCACGATTCCATCTATGTATTTAGATATGATTACAGTTCTTGTAGCTAGAATTTACAATTGGTTTATTTGATGACAGCGGATGTGGGGAAGGTGGGTTATCTGTGGGAGTTGAATGGAGCCAAGGAAAGGCTCGAGTTGTGGAAAGCTGATTTGATTGTGGAAGGAAGCTTTGATGAGGCTGTACGAGGCGTCGATCGAGTCTTCCACACTCTATCGCCCGTACTTGTTCCATAAGACGACAATGTTCAGGCAACTTAGTTAAGCTCTTCATTTGATCTTTTAGCTGTCTTGTTGCTTGATTGGGAGAAAACTTGAGAGCTTTCAAAACTGCAAAGTGCTAAAATGTGGTGCATTCATGAAAAATATTCAAGCTAAAACGAAACTTTGATTTGATTGTTGGCAAATTCGATTGATCCATGTATAAAGGGCACACTAAATGTTCTGAATTCGTGCTCAAAAGCACGCGTGAAACGGGTTGTGCTCACCTCTTCTTGCTTTTCTATAAGATATTGTTACGATTCCCAGCAGGGCTCTCCACTCAATGAATCACATTGGAGTGATCCTAAGTACTGCAAACACTACAATGTAACCACTTACAAACCCTTCCACTCCATGTTTAGTTCCAGATCAATTGGGTCGTTGTGATTACGGGTTGGATGTCTGATTGTCCAAGCGGTAATGATAGTATCTTGTACCTGAACCGGTGGCAAGTGCTAATGCGGTCTGAGGGAAAGGATTTCTTCTTGTCTGCTTAGCTTTTATTTGGCCTACCACATTCATCATAAAAAATAACACATAGATGTTGAATTGAAGTCGAAATGCAATATTCATGTGTAAATTATTGTTTGTGTACAGCTTTGGTATGCTTATGCAAAAACTACAGCAGAGTAGGAGGCATGGAGAATTGCCGAGGAGAGCAGAATGGATCTCGTGGTGGTGAATCCGTCGATCATGGTTGGTCCTCTGCTAGCACCACAACCAACCAGCACACTATATATGATACTTGCTATACTGACAGGTTAAACCACGTGACAATATTCTAGTACCGAACAATAATTTGTCCAATTTGAGAATACGTATATTGAATATGCCGTTTGGTTCAAGAGGGGAGCTCCTGAACACGACAGTCGGATTTGTGCACATAGATGATGTGGTGGCTGCGCACATTTTAGCAATGGTGGAAAGCAAAGCGTCGGGAAGGCTGATATGTTCGAGCTCGGTTGCGCACTGGTCGGAGATCAATGAGATGTTGAGGGCCAAATATCCATCCTATCCATATGAAAACAAGTGAAGTGAGTATCTCTAGTGTTTTTAAGTTTTTCTTGGTTTAGTATGAAAAATTATTCATGGAATTAAACATAAATTGTAGGTGTAGCAGCGTGGAAGGAGACAATAATCCACGTAGCATGGATACCAGTAAAACAGCACAACTGGTATGTCCACCTTTCAAAACGCTTGAAACAACGTTTGATGACTGCATCACTAGTTTCCAACAGAAACGATTTCTGATTTCTATGAACGAATCGCACAAGGCGTTGCCTTTGAGTGCGTTCCAACTTTCTTTGTAAGATACAGTCTTAGCATTCGTCTCCTGCACCCGAAGCCCTGAGTTCGATTTTCCCCTCCACTTGTCCAAAAGGGAAAACAAATCAATAGTAGTAGATGAGGAATGAGCAAGGGTGTTAAAGCAGGATCTCCATCATTATTTGTGTTTTGTTATCTTCTTCTTTTCCTTTTTCAATATTCAATTTTTGGCGTGTCTTATGCCTTTTGACCGTCAAAGTTTTGGACAGAGCTTTTAACAGAATGTTTGATTCTAGGGATCTACCAGTTTGGCTAAAGTAGTATATTTACATTACATATAAATAGTGAGTTGAGTTGGTAATGATCGTTTTCTTTGCTAAACTTAAGGTGTAGGTTCAAGTTCTGCTGTCAACAATTCCTTTTGGCCGGTGATCTGTAAAAAAAAAAATAGCTAAGATCCCTTTGTAAGTTCTCAAAGAGACTTGTAGTATGCTCTGATTTCGAGATGAGATAAACTCCCCTCACCCTAAACTTTTTGTTACCAAAATAAAAACAATAGGCATGTTTACTTGTAATGCTATCTTGAATCGAATAAGTGAAAAAAATAATTGAAATGAGATCAACCAATCCCGTAGTTAATTTGATTTTTAATTGTAAAGTATTTAATTACAGATTTTGACTGTGAAATATATTTTATTTTCAATTTTCAGATGTGCTAGTTTACAAAGAGAAGATTAGGAATTAAAAAAAATGATAATACTTTCTTATCCATTGTAAAAACCAGAATCGAATGTGATAATAAAGCTGTGACAAAAGTCGTGATGCAGAATTGTTAACAATTAATCAAAAGGAAAGGGACATTCCTCGCTTTGATTTCAATCGAAAGACAAGACGTTAATTACGGTTTCTTTTTATTTTTCGTTGTTTAGTCACATTTTTTATAATTCAAGTGCAAAAGCTTAAATGCGTTTTTTGACTGGAAAATCTCATAAATTTTATTTTAAAAAAATATATTTAGAGCTCGTTTGAATGTGCTTTTGAAATGACTGAAAACGTTTTTGATGAATATGTTTTTAGAACCAATCATTAGTAAAGATGCAAATAAATCCTAGAAAAGCACTTTAAGTGCTTTTGAAACCAAAAAATATTTTCTTTAAAAACGCTTTCAGTCATTTCAAAAGTATATCCAAACGAGCCCTTAGGCTTTTGGAGCTAATAAGCACAACATTGTTTCCGTCATTTTACACATAAGTTTGAATCTTACTCAAAGTGTTAGTGTAGCTCTAGTCATTTTGAAGACTTACATAAAGGTCTTAGTTCCCTTCTAAGTTTTTACGAATCTCCCACCAAAATATCGCATTCTAAACTAAATAATAACTATTTGGTGTAAATACAATACATTTTAAACAGCCTTAGTATTAATCCTATAAGTAAATAAGAAGCTTGAAGGCACCGTAACACTAGTGACACAATTATGCAGCGACATGATAAGCACTTTGTTAAGACCAGAGGAAACTGATTAGTGGCTTGCCTTTCCGTTAACATAGGGGACGTTCACTTATTATTCATAAGTAATGCGAAATGATTGCTATTTTGTTAAATAACAAATTTTATAATCAGTTTCATCTGTTTAAAACAGAGAAGTTAGTAAAAAACATAGAAGTTAGTAAAAACTTTTAAAAGTTATAATAATTTTTTACCGTTTGATCAAATTTTAAGAATCCGAATATTTTGATTCATAAACTTTGAAGGAAGAGATCCGGAGATAATCTCATTCCAAATTTTATAAGCAGTGGCATGTGATGTTAGAGGATATTCACCAGGACACGTGCCAAGCAAAGGCATTGAAGGTGTGTCACCAAACACCCATTGGTTTGGTTTAAGGGACCTGCAGGGAGAGCGAATTGGATTTATTGGACTACAGCTAGCTCAAAGGACCTGCAAAGATTTTACTGCCTCTAGTTCAAGATATGCTTTGATTTTTTTTGGAAGCAACTAGATATGCTTTGTTTGGCAAAAGAAAACCAACTCAGGTCCACTCCCACAACCCTCACTACGTTTTCACAACAACGAAGAACAGAGGGACTTCCTCGCTCCTTTCCGGCGCAACTATTACGTATTGCCATGAAAAATTAGCCTTTGTGAAAATATATCACTGATTTAAGATGCCATAGCGACATTCCTAGATATGAAATGTCCCAGTCAGTTATCCGAAGAAGGGTAGGATTACAAGATGGCGAATTTTTACCTCATGAGATATAGCCAAGGTGCCAAATTAGCATTATAAAGTGACCGGTGTTCCAAACTAATTATCCGATGAAGCTTGAGCATTTCATGGCGGAGAACCAATTATCCAACGACATGATAATATTTCTAGATGGCAAAAACCAATTATTCAACGCCATTCGAAAAGTTAAAACGCACAACAATAATGCGTCTTAGATTTGGAACACCGCCACATAGGTTTATGTTTCAGCCCTATCAGAATAGGGAGGAACAGTTAAGCCATTTCCAACCGACCCGGCTAAAGAGTCGTAGGCCAAAATATAGCCCGTTTTGACACGAAAAACGTCTTCAAGTGAGAACTAGGCCCCGTTTCGGTTGGAGTTTGGTAAAATAAGTCACCATCTACCTTGAGATCAAAGAACTTTGGTAATAACTACTGAGAAGACCCGACAATAAAAGGGACACGAGCTTTGTGCTCCTTCAATGGATAGCAAGCCACACCAAGGCTCCATGAACATTTAAAAAGAAATCAGAAAGTAGGTAAAGCAAAATTCATTGCAGAAACTTCATAGTCCAGTACCACATCACAGAGAAAACAGAGAGATATAACATTAAACCCTTCTGCGACAACGAATGAGATCGAAAACCCTTTGGACGGCTCTGATAGCACGAGAAAACTCAAGGATTCAAACTGAACATTACCATGCTTAAGCCGCTAATCACCGTCTTAATCTCTCTTTAAACAAACAAATAAATTAAACTCTCAGTCAAGAGCCCCCAATGTGTTGGTTAAGAGTTCTTGATGTTTCACCTAATTGCTGCAAAACCATAACTAATAATTACCGATACTAACGGAGATTAAACTCTTAAGATACTCTCCTAGCTGCAAAAACTTATTGGCATACTAATGTTGAGGGGTTCATCCAACCAGCAAGCAATGTCATCCTTGCCAAGATCCTCAAAGTCACAGTCGGGAAGACTGCTCGGCTCATCGCTTTCAAATCCGGGAATCTGAATATCCTCAATGCTGCTGTAATCGTCGAAGTACTGCCCGAAATCCTCTAAGTAAAGAGAATCGAGCTCCGGTCCCAAGTTTATGTCTTGATCAAAATGAAGAGGGCCCAATGAATCATCAAGAAAACCCAAATCGGGTATTTGCAGCTCTCCAAGATTTGTCGAATCATCGGCAATCTCCTTCTCCAAATCAGCACCATTCTGAATGTTATTAGAAGCAGATGTCTCCAAATCAAGCACTGACGAAGGAGACCTCTGAGACAGGACACAGTCGGAATCCTCAGACGGTTCAGCGTTGTTGTAGGAACAGTTGTTGGAAACGACAGCTGAGGCCGAGGTGTTGTTGCTTTTATCAGAGGCTGAAACGGCGGCCGGAGCAGCTGCCACCATTTCTTCAATTTCAAGCCGCTTCGCCTCATAGGCCTTGGAAGCGTCCTCTGCAGTGTTGAAAGTACCAAGCCAGATACGAGCCCCCTTGAAAGGGTCGCGAATCTCAGCTGCCCATTTCCCCCATTTGCGCTGTCTCACTCCTCTGTAAGGAGAAGAGGACTGCCGATGGGATTTAGTGAATTTCACCTTCTTGTTGCTGGGTTTCAGGGTTTTAACTCCACCGTAGTTGCTGTCTTGACCTGAGCTCTCCGGCTCAGCGGCTGCCTTCGGCGGCGGGAGCGCAACATTGGGTTGACAGAAAGTAATTTCACGAACAAAGCGTCTTGGGTTTTTAGCAAAGCTTCTTTTTCTTCCTCCTTCATCTTCGCTCGAAGATGAGTCATCAGTGGCGTCGGGATCGTAACAAATAATACGAACTTTCCTCGTAATCTTGGACTGTTGAGCAGGAAATAGTTCTCTCTTGGACTTTCTCATACTGTTCCGCTGATTTACCAGCTGTCTCTGAGGCTCAGGCATTTTCTGAACTAATTTCTAAAAATGCCTAAAATCTTCTCCCAAAAACCCTCAAAAATACCCAGAAAAAATGAAAAAAAAAAACGAAATTAAAAATATGAGATTTGAGTTTGTGATGTGAGTGGTATCAGGTTAGATCCCCTCTCAGGAATAAGAAGAGGAAAGAAAATCTTTTTATATGAAAAGCCCCAAAATATTGCAATCCAGAACAAATCCTGCAAATTTCAACAACTAGTAAGATTCAAATTAAAAAAACTAAAAAATCAACCCAGAATTGAAAAACCCACAGGGGTTTAACAAACATTTAGAGAATATAAACAAAAACCCACATACCCTTTTGGTCTCAAATTCATCGAAACAGGTCGAATCACCGGGTTGAATCTCTGCCGGAAAAAGCAGAGAAGCATAAAGCAGACGGCAGAGCAAGCAGCAGTTAAAATCCAGAGCTTCGACGGAGCCCCAAGCACCACCAAATCAAAGCTAGCCGACATAAAATCTCTCCAAGCAGCCTCCTCTTTCGCTCTCCTCCGTTCCTCAGAGAAAACCTTTTTCCAAAACCTTCTGTGAAAATCCGTGAGAAAAGATAAGAGAGAGAGCCAAAGCGAAAGAAGAAGACTGTAAGAGGCAGAGTGATAGCTAGATATAGCCGCAGCAAAACCCCTAAAGCCTCAAGACGGTTTGGTGGTCAAAAGGGTTAGAGAGGATGACGAATCTATGGCCACGATTTTATGTGACAGAGATCAGAGAGTGTGGTTAAATAGTTTTCATCGACTTTTACAATACACCGACTCTACAGAAACAGAAAGAAAAAAAAATTAAAATATAAAAACTGACCTTCAATTAAAAGATTCAACAACGCAAATCTCCATAAAATAAAAAATTTTAAAATATCAAATGAGATTATATATATTTTTTAATTTGTTGTATAAAATAAAATTTTAAAGCGGACTGTAGAATTATTAATTTGTCATATCATTCTTTTTAGTAATTTTTTACTCAAAATAAGTTATGTGAAACATATGACTGATGTTTGGAGTAATGATGTAACTTAGGTTGGGCCAATCCGAACCTGTCCATGTTCTATCCGACTTTAAACCCGAACAAGCGGGTTTTTTTTAGTTATAACATGCCCAAACCCAACCTGATTTCAACCCGTTCATTGATTGGGTTGAGTTGTGCAACTTGCTTCTTAATGACATTTGCACTTTCGTGGAGGATTCACTAGTGACTTTTGAACCCGATTAAACTCGAACCCAAATGAACCCAATTAAGACTCAACCCGAACCTGAACCCGAATTGTAAAAGTTGGGTTAGAGTTGGGTTGACCTTTTAACCCATCTAACCTGTTTGAGTTGCCCCCCTAATTTAGAGTTATTTCAACATTTCAACATAAATAATAGCCTCAAAATTTACAATAGGTTGAGTTCCCAGTGACAATGTTTTTGAGCTATCTTCACTTCAAAACACAGAGAAGTGAGCACATATCGTTCTTTTTATTTCAATTTTTTATAAAATCTTAAAATTATTTTTGTCTAAGCAACTTGTTAGAAGGGAGTGAGGCGTTGAAGATTCGAAACAACCTAAATACAAGTTATGTGCAAGAACATGACTTTATTGAATGAAAAACTAGTTAGACTAACATGAAAATTTTATAATTTCGGAAAATTTATAAATAAATCAATTAAAATTTTAATTCTTATCACAAATTAAAAAGGATGATTGGTATTAAAACACCAAGTTTTACTTCTCATATACTAATTGTGTAGAAAACATTTAAAATTAAATTATAAAAAAAATCACAGAAACCAAAATTAAAATGTATTCAAACAATTTGCAGTTACCTTTGTGTAGCTTTCTCGCTCCTCAATATTCTATTGCTCCTCAGGTCTCTCTTTCTCTCCCCACTCTCTCTGCCTGCGTTTCACATTCAGTGGTGCTTTTCTCTCTGCTTCTCTCTCACACTCTCGCCATGTTGCGTTTTTCCTTTGCGGTATATAAATTGATAAAAAAGCAGAGACAACGAGCGTGTGAAAATAAATATATAAAATGTAGGAAAAAAAACCAATTTAGCAAATTAACAAATACATTTAATTTAAAATGATGACCTGGCATGGGCTAGACTTTTTATTGTGCTAAAAACACGAAAAAAATCTCTTGTTACGCATATCACCCTTGAGTTCTTCGCCACACTCCCGCTTGCCAGTTGTGTTCCACACTGTCCAATCGTACGGTTCTCAATGGCATTGCAGAGCGGGTTAGGCGGGAGAGTCAGTCCACGCAGAAGCTCGATTCAATTCTTGAGAGAATTTCAAGGCAAGTGCTTCAGACCAGGCATGGTTGATTGTGCTAATTTTTTTGAGGAAAACACAGCGTTACTTTCAGCAAAAGCCTATTAATTGTGTTGTCAAACAGTTATTTAGGTAATTTTGGGAATATAGGTGACAAAATAGAATCAATATTTTGTCATTTTACGAGATTTACCCTTTCTTTTAGATTATTGTTTTTTTGTATATTTAGGTATGAAGTTGGTTTTGCATTTTTCTTGATTTGTTTTGTTGTGGCCACCTTTGGGAGAAAATCTGGATCTTGATAATTCTGATTTCACAAAATAAAATTTTCTATGGACTTTTCCCTTGTAAATTGATAATCTTATGGTAAGTTGTACCTACCAAATTTTTTATTAATTTGGGGGTCAAACTTTTTTGTGGGAGTAAGTATATGATGAGAGATATTTTTAGTGTGCTCAGAAGATGGTTCTATTAAGTGGTTGAATTATTATTTTTTAAGTATCCAACTACTTGTATTATCAAGGCGTGGAATGTCACGCTAAAATTTTGTTTATATCATCATTTATATTTTAAAAATGCATTTATAAAAAAAACCTTGATTGAACAAATTCTCACCGTTACAATTAGATTTTTTTATATTTATTTAATGCATTCTATCATGAAAAATAATTGTTAGATTATCCTTGGATATATTCACATATGTTTTAGTATGGGTGTAGAAAAAAAAAATTAACTTATGGGTGTACAACACTTGATGATAATTTTAAAGGGTTTAAAGAATTTGCACATAGTATCACGGTACAATGGTATTCCTCCTCACTTGTAAATAAGAGATTTTAGGTTCAATTCTCATCAAAGACGAATTTGAACCCAAGCTATTGTCAGCTCATTGTGAAATTTGGGTCGTTCTCCTTCATCTCTTAAAATAAATAATATCGTTTGTTTGGAAGATAAAAAATTCTAAAGAATTAATAAAAATTCCAACAAAAAAAAGATTAATTTGAATTAATTATAAAGTTCATTTTTTCTTGGTCATATAATTTATCAGTTAACTTGTTAAAAAAATATATATATCGGTTGACTAAGCTGTGTTGAAGGAGTAACATAGGCCCAATAAACAAGAATTTAAATGTCCCGTCTCAAAAAGAATAAGTATGATGAAAAATATTAAATCATTTTTTATTTTGTTGGATCATCTTCCACGATCATAGGAAAACCTCGATGGGAAGAAATCATGAAACCGACCTCATCATAACACTACCCCGTGATGTACAAGCTGTGGGTCCCAGCGAAGAGAGCACACAAAGCACGTGACCATGTGCCGATCGATTTTCGAGAGGAGCAAAAGTTGATCCAACGGTCCGTAAGCTGCCTGGCCACGAAAAAAATGGCCATGTACCTTTATGTCCCACGCGGCGGCCACGCCCCAAGCAACCATAAACTTTTGGCAATGGTAGGTAACAGTCTATTATACTAAACGCACAGTCCACTAAGAAAGGCTAGATTTTTCCTCTCCAATTCTTCCTCATATTTTATTATTTTTTAACATCAAATTAGTTACTTTGGGGGCTACATATTTCTTATCTTAGAGGCAAATTTAGAACCAGTTTAGGATTGTTGTGTTTTTTTAATAAATTATTTTTGTTGTACTTTAAGAATAATTAACTATAAAATAAAGCAGTTGAGCGTTTGATTAATTATATTTTAAAAGTGTTTTGGGTATAAAAAGTAGTGTAAAAGCAGTGTCTAAAAAGATAAATAATGTCATTGTTTGAAATTAATGAGCTAACTACAGGAATTAAAAACATTTTAAAAGTTCAACTCTTCTTTTCATTGAAGCAGCTTTTAAAAGTAACATATATGCTACTTTTAAAAAGCTATTGTTTGAAGGTCATTACTTTAAAAATAGAATAAGCAATATATTTTATTTTTACCAAACACTTTTTTACTACTTAACTTTAAAGTGAAACATAATTTTGTAAAAAATCAATACCAAACTAGGCTTTATTCTAATTTTTTTTTAGTCTATTTCTCTTTAGCTTTTTGATTGGCGAACAATTTTATCAATATTAAAGCTAAATGTGGCCTATAACCCTTGATTCAAGATGACCTAGGCCAACTCTAAGACCAATAGTCCATGCCCCGCCCAAAGAAAACGAGACTTACATGAAACCAAAATGTTAAAGTTTGTTCAAATTATTATGTGTTATTATGAGTGATGTTTATAGAAGTGACGAGTTTAATACATGATTACGACTAATTCGATGTTTGATTAGCTCAAGTAATTCATTCTCTCTCGCATGGAATTAGATGATTGGTCTTTAGTGTACCCATTTTATTCAAAGTAGTGGGAGTTCAAAGCAATCATGTGATATTATATAGAAAAGAAAAAACACTATGATATTTGAGTAATATGAGAGCGTCTTATAAATTTGAGCCACTCTTCATATTAGTAATATGTTTTACCGTAAGTCTTGACCTTTTAAGGCTTTTTAACAAAAATGGTCATTGAGATTTGCATAATTTTTTACTTTGGTCTCTGAGATTTGAAATCGATAGAATTGGTCATTGAGTTTGTCTCCAATCAACCATTTTGATCATTCCATGAAAAATCGCCATAAAATAAGGATAAAATGACAAAAATACCCTCAAAATTTGTCAAATCATTTTAGCCTCTTTTTATTATATTGAGGGTAATTTTGTCATTTTGATCCTTATTTAACATAATTTTTCACCGAATGATCTAAATGATTGATGGTGGACAATTTTA